AACAGTGTTAGGCATTGCCCGTGAGCGCTGAAGGTTAAGCAGCAGCTTTTAGAAACAGTAAAATTCATTTTTTAAAAAACAGGAAATGTTGCTATTGGATTATTGCTTTCGGTACTCAAAATAACTCGCTTCGTCCGCATAAATCCTACGCCGTCTTGTGGACATTCTGTTGATTAAATGGTGTTTCCGAGCACGTCAACTACTATGCCCATTAGTCTCGTTAGTGTGAATGTTTCCCTGGGAAATGGTAGCATTCTTCCGCATTGGATGGTGAGATACGCGCCGACCTACCTGTCGGATAGTGGGGTTTTCCCCAACCAGGTATTCACCCTCTTTCATTTCATGCAAGGCATCACGGTTTTTGGTGCCGTGCATCTTCACTCAGGGAAGACTAATTTACTCCCAGGGTTTGTTGATATCTAGAAAAGGTGTTGTTTTGCTTTGAGAGCGTGAAAATTCTTTCAAACTCAGTTTTGTGAAATGATAATCAATTTTGACAGTTGCTATAGAGAAATGAATTATGATCACAATTCAACTGAGGTTATTTATTAGGAATTCTTAACAGATTGACCTGTGTATAGCGAGATTACTGTAAGAAGGGACCGCTTTAACAGCTACTGCTTCGCCACTGCTGTTATCATAACTGCAAGTTATGTCCTTACAATCATTTTGTTGGTAGGTTCATTTGCAGCTAGCTCATTTGTAACTGGATTCATTTCTATCTCTTGCAATGACATCGCCCTGCATGGCGTTCATTTGCTTCGTGACTTGTCAAAGTCTTAGAGTAACTCCTCTATACTAAGCTCCTGCAATTATAATGACGATAAATTCTTCTCACTGCGCGCGTTTCTAACGGATGCTAAAGAAGGGCGAGAACCGACGAGAAGAAGGGGTGTTGGCTGCCGGATGGCAATGTGGCGAGTGGCAGCGACCTTCCCGCTCGAGGCCTCAGACCCGACCGCCCAAACCCCCCACCCCCTTCCTCCATCGCCCCGTCCTAGTCGGGGACTCCACCGCCCACCTGCTACATCTCGCAGCCACCATCCTCGCACCCTTTCACACTGGAGCTCGACTTCACTATATTTAGGACTATCTATTCGCAAACTTAGAGATAACTCAACTTCTGTACGGAATATTTCGGTTGGTAAATGTAGGGAGATATTTTGTTTGAGAAGGTCTCTAATAACTCTGTGCTTGCTGTATCGCATAATGTATCGTCTTTCACCTTCTCTGCTGACCTACGTAACGCAGACGCAATCGTTCTGCACGAAACGAAAGGTTTGGGGTTCGACTCCTTAAAACATACATGTTGACCATGTGATTGTGAGGCAGAAGGTCATGACATAAACTAACATGAATCCCAGAAGACCATCCATATCATTATTCGTAACTCATAAATCCTATGTGACGTATGGTCTCAAATCAGTCCCAAAGTGCTGGTTAAAACACTAAAAAATTACAACAATAATAAAAATGTAATGCCCATGCTATTGTTTGTCGAAAATAAATGCGAAGTAATCTTAATGCCACAGAGCGCGAGATGTAATTATTGTACCCATTACTCTTGTTATCTGATCAGAATTTTGACTTATGCAGAATGTATCACTTCTGTTTGTTGGTTAATGTACCTTTCTTTAACCACTACCCAAAGCCAGAACTCAAAATATTGGAAAGATATGCGAAAGTTTGAAATCCCTGCTCATACTAATTTCGCGGAAATTGCAGTTTTGTTTTGGTTCATTCAAATGTGTTCATAATTTTGTTGATATTTTTACGTCTAACTCTATTCTCGGGAGAGTGTCGTCTTCGAAAAGGATCGTCTCAATTTCCATTTTGGCAATTGAAACGATCATTTGGAATTATCCGCAAATGAAAGAAATAAGAAGTAAATCAAGGTTTTAAATTATCTCGAAGGTGCAAATGACTTTATTTGCGCCTCTTGCTTAAGGTGGAATATAAGAATCAAAAATAATTTGATCTTCACCCGCGGTGTCCGAAAAATTCTTTCGACCGATAATTCTTTCGACCGAAAATTCTTTCGACTACACTGTAACTGATGCACTCGTTAAGTGTTCAATAACTCCTGTATTTTACCATTAGGATCTTTAGGGACTAAAATGCTATCAAATTCAGGAATTTCTTTTATCAAAAGTTTACATTACGAATTGTTATCGTTAATTATCTTAAAACTGAGGATAGCAAGTTTCAATACTTTCAATTTGATCCTACCGGTAATACTGTAGTTCTTAGGACGATCAATTAATGAGATATCATTCTTTTCGATGCGTTCCTATGAAAATATTGTGGATACGTAGAATTATGTCCACTTATACATCATTAATATTGCCATTTTTTTTAAAAGAATATACTAGATTTTTTTAAAGACAACCTAAATAGTCAACTACTAGAATACTATGCTGCTATACTGTACTATAAAAATACTACTACTGGAATACTACGCAAGCTACTTTTGGACTTTTGATAGCGTCCTTCATCGTCCCGGTTAACGTCACAGCGGCTTTCGTAGACTGCCACACGAGCTGCCCTGCTGAGCGTTTGGCAATAGCATATTCAAGAAGTTTTTGTTGAGCCAACCGCACGAGCAACATGGTATCAGGTTCCCCACGGAAGATTGAATTTCTTAAAGTTACGAAGTGATTGCGAGAAAGAAATTACACTTCGTTGATCTCGCAGGCAGCACAATAGCGCCTGTAGTAGAGTGCCGTCCGGATTTTTTTCTTAGTGATGGATTGAGAAAGGGAATATGACACAATTGGGGTAAAAATCTTCATATGATATTATTTTTTTCCTTCCAATTGAAAGGAAACAAAACTTACATTTTAAAAGGTTTTTAAATGCATTTATGCATGTCTGTGTATATTACGCATACGTAAGAATATGAATGTGTGTGAGAATGTTATATTACAAAAATCTGCTGTTAAGTTTTCCTTTCCAAACACCACATAAATAATTTTTTAATAGGTAAAATTCCAATAATGTTGTCATTTTATTTAATTTGTTTAGAGTTTTTATTGGGTGTGGGAAGGAACACGTAAAGGATACAGTGTTTAAAAAACGAAATCAAAATAACAAATTTAACAGACTAGATTTTTACTTTGCCCTGAAAAGTTATTAAAGTGTTATTTGGAATGTTGTACGTCTTCATTTCCATCCTATTTAATTGTAATTTATTTTGTCTCAACCTGTGTTATGTACGTGAGAAACAATAAGTAAGCCAAATATTGAGTTTGAAACATTATTTGATATCTACGCAGAATAGCGAACGATTAGAGCATGCCAGCCAAAAATGATGTAATATATTATTGGTGGAATTAAAATTATTTTGGTTTCATGGAAGGCGCAAAACAGCAACCGCAAGATAACTAGCTGTTCTGTTGTTTTTTCTACTGAGTGTAACGTGTTGATGTATCGCAGAGATTACAGATCCCTCAAACTCCTTATTAGGGTAATGAGCTGCTTGTCACACTTGTCACAGCAACCTAACCGAGAGCTGAACAGTCTACGGATCGAACTTACGTTCTAACGCATTTACTTGATCCAGAATTGGCAAAACTTTTACCTTCTCTTGATCGAACTGGAGTTACAACTTCTAATCAGGGACGTAGATTTCGTGTGAATTGAACCCCGTAGAGGGAATAGATCTAACAGGGGCTGTTCTAGCTCGTCAGCAGGTTTGTTCATTCATCGTGTTATTGCTTCCATTGATTCTCATATTCATTAAACGGTCTTTATAATTTGATAGGGAGTGAACGATATTTTTCCTTCATCTTTTTATTCTTTAGGCGAGTATTCGTTTAAAGCTTACTTCTTTTTCATAACAGTTGGAGAGATTTCTTGTCGTTTATTCAAATCGAGCTGTCGCGTCTGTTGAATTCTCGAACATTCCTCGTGAGCGCGCATCTGCTAACCTTCGTCAGCGTTCCCAGACGTGCTGTGCTCTACGACCAAACCGGTTTGCTGTGCACTTGCTAACATCAATCAGACCGAGCGAGAAGGGCTTGCGTGTACATAATTTGTGTGATACTAGTGTGGTCGTCGCTGTTGTTATTGTTGCAGTTGCTACTACCGATTGAGATTCTACTATCGTGCATATTCTTGTTAATATTTTATAATAAATTAATAATAAATAAATACATTATTAATTGGATGTATGAGTGAGAATGTGGTTTATTAATGCCCACTGCCAACTCCCTGAGCCTTCATTTGTTTTCAGATACCTTAATTTTATATCAAGAAAAGCAGTTGGTATTGAATTAATGTTGGTGTTCAGTTTAAATTATTTAGCTGCTTTGGGTTTCCAATTCAGTTAGTCAGTTTCATGAATCACATCTGCAACAGTCTATAAATTGTGCCGTTATTGAGATCTAAACTTCTGCCGCCCTTAGTAATACAAAGCATCAGTAGTAAAGTTATAAAAGTTTAGTAATGAAAATTCTTTATACGGTAATATTTTATCAATAAATGATTGACGTAAATTATAAAAAATATGCTTTTTATTACTAAAATCAATAATATGGACAATCAGAGCGTCGATTTTTCCATCTACAATTTCTTATAATAAGGGAAAAGAGCGCCTGCAAGCGACTCGTGAGCGTAACTCCTGACGGCTGCTCCCCCGCTTAGGCGCCGGTGGGGTAGCCCCGAGGCCCAGGGAGCAGGTGGCCGTTCAAGGGGCGCGCGGCACTGCCAGGGACGTCCTCTACCCCCCCCCTCGCCCCCGCGAGCCCGCTCCGTGATTCAGATGGCTGCGCGACCGCGGCGGCGGCGGCGGCGGTGGAGGCGGCGGAGGGCGCCCAAATAAGGGAATCTCGCCAAGGCGCCGCGTTGCGCAAGGGCCGCAGCGACGGTCGGCGGCGGCGGCTTCTCGCGGGGCGATCTGGGACAAGGCCCGCGCCTTTGCCGCCGCCGCCGGCCCCCGATCGTGCAGTAGCCGCCCCGGCGCAGTCGCTCACCCGCGCCGCGTCCGTCCTCTGTTGCAGACGCCAGTCCAGTCAGCTGTCCGGAGACGGCTCCCCCAGCCCCGGCGCCGTTCCTGCTGGTGAGTACCGGTGCCTCTCATTCATTATGATCCCGACCAAAATGTTAATGAATTCTATACAAAACGTATTTTAATTGTACCATTCATGGTAGTCTTCTATCATCTGCAATAATATTTCGTTCATCTTTAAAGATGGATGTATTTAATTAAATACTCTAGGAAATATTCTTGACACACTATGAGACACACTTGTTAAATACTTTCCTCTCCATTCTTTTCAACTACCTCGGGAATCGAAACCTCTAATCGGGAAATGAGACTCACGGAACAATCAGGAATAGGCATTTAATGGTACTCAAATACAGGATCGTTTATAATAATAGCTCGAGATTTTTTATTTCATTTTTTGAATAGATAGTGTACAATTCAGATAATTGTCTAAATAATAATTCGTTATTGGATATATTTTTTATTTTGTTTTAGAATGTTTGCGTAAATTATACATTCATTGAGAGTGAACTTAATATTTTGAATTTTGCATAATTAATTGCGTATCTTCTCGATACCAATATCAATTTTTTGCAAGCTTTTCTTTGTACCATCTTTGTGCACTTTTTATGCACATTAATTTCCTGATCATCCGAGACAATCTGTTCACCCTTACCAGGTGATATTGTCATATCCTTCAGAATCAGAATGTGCAAGCGTGAATTAATCTAAAACCGTTTGATTATCTTGAAATGATAAAAATTCCGCCTGTGAAAATTCGAGTTGCTCTGATATCAGATGCTTAAGCCTAATTTTATTTTGTTGTCAAAGAAAAAATGTTTATTGTTATACAATTCTTACATATAGATTACGTGGAGGAAATGTGAAAACGAGTAGTTATATTTTGATGAAATAATGAATAGAATTGGATAAACAGATGTGTATTGAGTGAAAGTATTGGTTTGGAGCGAAATTTCCTCCCGAGAAACTTGCTCAGCTTTCGCTTAGGTTTGTGTGAGTAATGATCGGCAGCCTGCGTAAGCCAAGGTAGAGTCCTTTGGAACAATAAATGGAGAGTTTTTGTACAGCACGAAGCATCGTAGACTATACGCTTACTCTCATTTGAGTCTCTGTGCATGCGTGTACTCCAAAGTTAGTCTAAAGTAATAGCGGAAAACGCTATTCCATCAGAATTAGCGCGAGTGATCATGTGATCTACGTAGCTCACTAAACTAGTAACTTGATCACAATATAGGAGTTTTAAAATATCTGTGGCTTGTGGAAAGGTCTGAAATTGCCCCTTTCTACCAATGAATATAAAGTGGGAAATTTCATATAGTAACTGCGTTACTCAAGTGACATTTACCCATAATTGGTAGGCAACCCCGTATGTAGGAACATGAAATCTCCTTGACTACCTCAGAACATGACCTGTCGCACGCCTGTACATTAGAAATTGCTTAGCAATCATAGTCACATTAAGTGTGTCCGTTGTTTGAAATTTCTCAGTACGTGTTCATTGGCAAAAGTTCATTTGCCATGGCTCTGCATGGCCTAAACATTTGTAACATTTATTCTGAGACACTCTTTATATGGCATTTGAGCCCAACAGTTACACAGTGTGCTCGTTCAATGCGGATTCCGCATTATACAATAGAACACTGTAGAACGTGCATTTGTCAGGACCACAGATTACACATTAAGCACATTTCTCATTAAACACATTCCGCCATTGAAGTGTACTTTCATGATACAATATGATGCTGGTTGCATTTATCTGATACAACAGTGCTTTTTCTTGTCTAATATTATAATATTTATATAATTATGAATTCAGAGGGCACTGGTTGGTAGGCAGCTGTAGTCGTACAAATTCGAATCAGGATAATGTGAGTTCATGGTAGTATAATGCACAAGTTCGGAACTTCTTCCATTTAGAACGAAACATGTAAAATTTCTTTTTACATTTCACACGCTACTGGTCACGTGCTTGCCTCGCACGTGAAAAATCTCTCTACTAGTTCTGAAGCGCACAGCACATTAGACGTAACATGCTTCTCAGGCACTAGCCACTTAGCACTCGCATTGAAACGGAAATTTCTTTCCGGTCCAGTACTTAAAAACAACTGAAAAACGCACATCTCGGAGAGCATTGGACTCAACTTCCACTCGACCAAGGTTTCCTCAGATGGAAGCAGAAAATATTTGCGGAAGTCACTCCAACGCTCTCAGAAAGTGATTCATAAAGAATTATTAGATGTGCACCCATGCATTTTCATCATACAGTTGCATTCGAAGAATGTCAATGTCTTTCATGAAATGTAAGAACCTATATCAGAAGTTGTTGGGATGTAAAAATATCTGATTTTACTATAGGACCTAAATACATCTACCTTGTCTATTCAACTTTTAAAAATCTATACTGTCACTGAATTTGTGTGGTTTGTGCCTGTGGTTTGTTTTGTGTGGCCTGAAGGTTTAAGAAGCGGTACCTTGGAATTCAAAGGAAATTGTAGACATTAAGTTCGTAACATTGCATCTCTTACATCGTGTGACAGGGAGCGCAATGTTTTCCGCTTTCAAGCAGATTTTAATTGATAATGGAAAATAATTTACTCCTATAAGTGGTATCCTAATTTCATGGCCCAAAGTGATGTAAAAATATAAATAGTTCACTTAGTTCAAATTGTTTAAAGAATTGACACCCGGGAAATCGAACCCGGGGTTCCTGGTCTATGCCCAATTGCTCTAGATAGGGTGGTAAATATTGAATTTTCGGTTAATACAATAGAAGCACAAGTTTATTCGTTTGCTTTTTACGCAAAACTAAATTTTCTGATTGAAATGTTTCATAATCTTTAGAAACCTAAGTCGTGGAATGAAAAAAAAACTTTTTTCATTTTGAAATTTAAAATTCAAGGCTTAGCAATGAAGGTGTGACGGTGTCAGTTGTGACGTGACAAGTTGGTGTTAACGTAGCGTGCGCTCGCTCGGCCCTCGCAGGAGATTAAAAAAGTTCTGCTTTATTCACAATTTTTCTTGTAGAACATTTTGGTGAATTTTAATACAATAAATTATACAGAATTCCCGTCAACTGATGACCATCCCCAACAAATTCTAAACGGTAAAGATACCGAAATGAAGTTTCGCTCATCAATGTCGAATCATGGGGACAGTAATACGTCGTAGAGACATTGTTTGAAATATTTTAATTTTCGGGAAAGTTAATCATCTCTGATTTTTTTTAAATGCAATCGTGTTTTCTTCGAACTAGCACTAGATAGATCTTAAATAGAGAAATGTAATGATTTAACACATTTACTGTTTCGATAGTATTTTGAGAAAAAATACTTTTTGATAAGTGATTTTAAATTAAACGTATGAGTACTATATTTCCTGTAGCTGCCCTTGCTGCTGTCGCCATTCGGGAAGGTGACCTTCGCAGCGGGTAGAGGGGAGAGGCCGCTGGTCTCCTGTAAACAAAAACAATTAATATAACATGTAAAAATCAATGTTTGATTTTTTTTGTATTTTATGTGCTGCCATACCGTTCATCCTCTTGCGATAAAACTTTGTCAACTTATTGCTGGCACTTGCGCGAAAAATATAGCCATAGTTTAACGGAATGTACATATGTCTGTAGCACATAAACGCAAAATGGGAGGGTTTTAATGATTTTGTGCGTTTATGCTGACTCAAGTGTCACTGAACAGAAGCTCTATGCAACCCGCCGTGTCCTCAAGTATTAAGGGCATCTTCGCTGCATATTCTGTCCCTGCGATTGTGAAAAATCGGCCGGAATTATTACTTGAACATTATCTCGGGCAAGTAAATCAATTTTCTCCAAGACAGTATTATAGGGAATGCATGCTCAAACGTGAAAGAGATATATAAGTATTATAAGAGCATTAACATTAGTATACTACTTAACAACCATGTCAAAACCAAGATATAGCACAAACTCATACTCGCGAGAAAGTCCTTCATTCAGTGCTAATTTTTTTGTAGAGTGTAGCGTAAAACATGGTTAACTATTACGTGACCAGTAGCGTGGGAAGTGTAATACATTGCAATAGCGAAGCAGTGCCGGGTCCACTAGTTTATAATAATTATGAGGCGTTACAAATGGAAACTCCACTGTATCTGAATGTAAGGTCTGATGGTGAGTATCTCGCAGGAGATGGAGTGAGCGCACCCGCGCCGCCGCCGCCGCCGCCCTTCCCGAGCGCCGCCCCTGCCTCTGCCCCCGCCCCGCCCGGGCGGGCCGCCAGCTCCGCCGCCGCCGCCACCCCCTGGCCCCGGCCGCGTGCCGGCCGTGCGCCTCAACACTGAGGTAAGGACACCGACCCGCATGCGCGTGCCGTTGCGCGAAATTGCAGGAGGGTTATTTTAACCTGTCAGTCCCCGTCAGTTGGAAATGAGGAAACCCCCCCCGAAGCGAGGAAACAGACGCGGTGATCCCATCGCCGCCGCGCGCTTGTTTCTTTCCACTCGCCTTTCATTTCCACTGGTATAAAATGTATTATATTTTCTTCCACGTGGCTATTAGCTAATACTGAAAGCAAAAATCCCGCCAGTTTCATGATCATTCTGTATTTATTTTCTATCTGATTTCTGTCTGTTGCATATTTCCAGTTTTTCCAGTTTGCTGTGTTTTTCAGATATTCGTAAGAAATAAAACATTAAAAACGTTGTTAACATTGTAAAGGCATTAAAATATAATTTGTGACCCTATTCCATTAAAGGTCTTCTCCATTCTCATTCCATTACGAATGTCAACTCGACACTCTAAGTGTGTGTACACTTATGATATTAGTGTAGGTAGGTAGCCTTGAAATAATTTTGAATATTGAATGTAATAAAAAGGTTGAGTTCGTAAATTGCCTGATCTGAATAGTTGTTTCGGTATGTTGTCTGATGACTTCCAGGAGAATGCGAGAGGAGCGATTGATTCTGAGACTGTGTACGTCCACTACCTTCCCTCCCAAAACCGGCAAAACCTAATTGGATATAATAATACTCATTATACCATTCACAAACGTTGAGGCAATAGCACGCAAGCATTTAGAAAATATAAACCAATTAGAGATTAATTATCAGGTGAAATTATCACTTTTTAATTATTACCATCTCAAAGTGATCATTGTTACTGCTGTTATGTTTACAAAGGAACCTTATATAATTTTACTGATTACTTAAGAGAACCAAGAAACCGCTTAAAGACTTGCTGCCGTTGAGTTTCTTGCGCGGAAAGTTCCTTCCTCGATGCAAGGCCGCCCCCATCCTTACTGATGAACTGAATCTACAGTTGATTCTGGATGTCTCAGACAAGAATGAGCCCACTGTAAGCAGTAATTCAAATATTATCACTTTGGCTTAGTGCCTATCTGATGAGTTCGACACTCGTCAGACGGCATTCAGCCTGGGACGCTACGTTTGTTGTTGTATTTACGAAGGCTATTTCACGCAAAATGGAAATCGTCTTCTTCTTCACATTCTTTTCCCTTTATTCACGAATCTTCACTCGAACAGTCATTCCTTCCTTCAAATAGTCCAGCAGTACTCGGGCTTTGAAAATTCTCCGAGAAATTCCTAAGCACCATAAAGTGGCGTTCCTTCACTGGCATGGGCCCGCGCGCGTGTGCAGATCCCGGACAACCGCGGCCCGCGGGAGCCGCCCGCCGCCATCCAGAACGCTATGATGACCAAGGACAAGAAGCCCTTCACGTATACGCCCGGCGGCCTCGACCTGTCGCAGATCCGCAGCCCGCGCATGCAGCGCCGCATCGTACGCAACGCCGCCAACGAGGGCGTGGGCGAGGCGCCGGTGAGTGCACGCCGCTCTTTCTGATTATTCTTACTACTTCTCTCTCTTCTCCCCTCTCTTCTTTTCTCTTCTCATCTCCTCTCTTTTCTTCTCTTCTTTTCTCTTCTCTTCTCCTCTCTTTTCTTCTCTTCTCTCTCTTCTCTCCTTTCTCTTCTCTCCTTTCTCTTCTCTCCTTTCTCTTCTCTCCTTTCTCTTCTCACCTTCTCTTACTCTCTTTTTCTTCTCTTCTTTCTTTTTCCATTCTCCTCTCTTTCTTCTCTCTCTCTCTCCTTCCTTCTCTTTCTCTCCTCCTTTTCTCTTTTCTCCTTCTCTTCTCTCCTCCTTCTCTTTCTCTTCTCTCTGCTCTCCTTATCCTTCTCTCCTTCTCTTCTCTTCTTCCGTCCTCTTTAAGATCTCAGTATTTCTCGTTACTTCCCCCCCCTCTCTCTCTCTCTCTCTCTCTCTCTCTCTCTCTCTCTCTCTCTCTCTCTCACTTTGCCTCTCTTTGTACCATTTCCATCTCCCAATTAGGTAGATATTTACTATACATGCCAAGTTAATTTAATCGGTTTGGTTGTGTTGCCCCACTGTCCTCTTCTATATTATTTCAGTATTGGAAATGAGTTTTGCTGATCTTATACGCAACCAATCTTTGTAAATGTGGTCTTTAAATAGAGAGAATTTCATAAAGACTTGATGAATTGCACATTAACTTAAAAAATATGAAGGATTTGATGAAAAATAACGTCTAACGATATAAATATCTATGCCAAATGGAACCCGCAACACTGGGGTAGCTTTGTTGAATTATGTATAGTTATATAATTCCAAAACAAAAGTTGAGGCCTTATAAGGCCTTATAGTTGTAGGGCCTTATAACCTGGGATTTTGAGGCCAAAGGCCTCTAACAACCGTTCCTCACATAATAATATACAGCATGAGATTTTCTTGTACATTCTATTATATTTTTTCTGGTTCGGCGCTTCTCAATTCTCCCCCACCTGTTTAGAGACGTGAAACTGATTGTGAAATTAAACTAATTACTTGATATTGCATGCGATTGAATTGCACGGATGTACCTCTGATTGGTAAAAAAGTTAAATAAGGGTTGTTTGTATTGAGAAGGATGTATTGTACCGTTACGTTAAAATACATTCAGTTAGAATAACTACAAGGAGACATAGAACAAATGACGGAGGATACGAGTAAGAGGAGCTTGAAGGAAAAGATATATTATGCTCTTAATATGGAAATGCAAGGATAGGGAAGAGGGTGTGGTCCAACATGAGAGTTCTCGCACGGGTACGCTAAACAAAACTTTTAGTATTTAACAATTAGTGGCGTTGAGAAAATGTTTGCAGTACAAAGTGCTGAAGAGCCGAATAGTGAGTGGATGATGAATGGCGCGTGGGCGTGCGCAGGCCCCGAAGCCGTCCCCGCTGGCCCAGAGCGGCGCGCCGCTGCCGCCGTCGGCGCTGGCCGCCATGCAGCCGGCGCTGCCCGTGGCCGTGTTCCACGCCGCGGGCGCGCCGGCCCCCAGCCACCACGACGCCGGCGCACGGCCCCGCAGCAGCCCGGCGCCGCCGCGCCGAGCCGCCCGGCCGCCTTCGCCGGCCGCGCGCCCCCGGGCCCCGCAGCAGCAGCAGGCGCGCTCCCCGCCCGCCGCGCCGCCCGCGCCGCCGCCAGCGCCCCCGCCCCGCGCCCGCCCCGCCCGCAGCCCGCCGCGGCGGCCGCGGCCGCCGCAACGAAGCCGGCAGCATCTACGTGCCGCCCGTGGCGCCGCCCGCCGAGCGCCGCTCGCAAGTGGGCTCGCTCTACATCCCGCCCGTCACGGTGAGCACTGCATTGCCCGCGCGGGCCCAAGCCATTCCCTCATACACTCGCACTGTTTGGGAAATTCCGGCTCAGACAGCTGAAAGGATAATAAACTGGTAACGGAGAGTAGCTATAAGGATAATACGCAGGTTAATAAACTGTTGCCACTGAAGTGGCTCTCTCCGCGTCGTCCTGGGGTTCCAGTAGGTTTTGGAAATTTTCTTCATCATACTTTGAACACTTTCTTAATAATTTGTGCACTACAGTGTCTATGGCCGTGAGGTCCTAGGTTTCGAGTCACCCACCACACATGTCGGGAGCTAAAGCTTTTCCCGGCTGGGGCTGTGATCCTCTGGTGGGAGATTCCTGGTTGGGGGAAACGCCGCTAGCCGACGTCTAGGTCGGCGCCGGATCTCACCATTCAGCGGGGGAGACTACACCCGATAAAATCGTGCACTACACTTACGGGTCTATTGACCTTAGCCGTTGATGCGCCCGGAATCGATAATGAATCACTTGCTGGCGAAGTGGCGTTCCACTGTGGGCGCCGTGTGTTCGCTTGCCTTCTGACGGCGGCGCTGGGTGGCGTGCGCAGCAGCAGCAGCAACAGTCGCCGCCCGCTGTGATGTCCCCGGGCCCCATGTCTCCGGTGACGCTAAACAAGGCGCCCACGCCCTGGCTCACGCAGCGCCAGCAGCAGACACAGCCCTCGGTGCCTCCGTGGGCGCAGCCCCGCGCCCCGCCGCAGCAGCAGCAGCAGCCCGCCCAGCAACAGCAGCAGCAGCGCGCACCGTCACCGCCGCGCTCCGCCCCGCCGCAGCACCAGCAACAGCAACAGCAGCAGCAGCAACAACAAGGCCCTGGCACGCGCATCATACCCATCCAGGTGAGCATTTGCACAGAGGCCACGACAAAATAAATGTTTCTAGGAAAGTGGTCGAAGATTATCACTTTTGCCTATGAACATGTGGTGGGGAAATTCATATAACCTAATTGGTCATGTGACATTGACCCTAAGGACGTTGCCTACTAATCAAGGGCGAATGTCATACGTACCATTGCGTTAAGTGAAATATTCCACTACATTTTCATTGGCAAAAAGTGATAATCTTCGTCACCGCATCTAACCCGAAACATAATTTTGAGGATTCCCTGTGAATTCAACACGTCAAAGCGGACATTCCCAACCCTTCTTTTCCATCGATCTATTTTAAAATAATGATTTGCTCTTCGGTCCCCTTCAATTTTTTCATGCAGCATACAACATAATGTTATCCCAAATAATTTCACATAAATTAAATAACTATGCAAAGAATATGAACAAAAAAATTTTAAACAGTGGTTTATTAGTTTTATGTTTGATAATATCATTTTCAATTTTTATAAATAGTATAGTCAAGTATTAAATTTTTATAATCTAATATCTAGATTTCACCTATCACTTACCTGTGTACATTCGGTTATCGGGCCAATCGACCCCTTAACCATCACTGACCTCCTTTAAAATTTCTTCAACCCCTAGGGTGCCAATATCGACTCCATTAGGAACCTCTTTTTGAAAGGAAAAGTAAAATAATTGAGAAAAGATGAGAAAAAAATACAAAGTAAGTTTTAACTCACGTGAGTTTGAACACTTCTCTCTATTCCCTGAATGCAAAAACCACAGTCGCAGCGAGTTGTAAAAAAGAGTCGTTGATGTCCATGTTTTGAAAACATCATGTTTTTATAAAATCATCGATTTATTAACATCGATATTTTGAAGCCGGTGTTGTTGTTTTTAAATCGACGTTATGTGTTCGATGTTTTTCTGTGGTTTTTATTTTTTAAATAATAAAGTACAATATTAACAAAATCTATAATAATTTTCAGACAGACGTAAATTCAATATATTCCTCAGAACAAAGTGACCAAGGGTGAAAAATAAATAACATAAATATCGTTTTCGTTAACAAAGAAGCCTATTATTTTTGAATTGTTGTGATAATCAAAGTTTTGTTATTTATTCTCATGTTTTTTACTTTGTTTTGTCTGATAAATCTCAATTAAAAAGTAATAAACGAAGACGCACTTTCAAATCCCCCCCCCCCCCCGGTAAACTTTAATAGTTATTTTTTAGCTTAAAAAACATCGAGTTTATCATATCCATGGTTTTGGCTCGTTGTTTTATAACCTCGATGATTCAATTATGAGCGTCGAATTTTTGAAACATCGATGTTTTGTTATCGATGTCACATCCCTAGCGTGTGCCTCGTTACAGGTGGAGGGACGCGAGCCGCCGCGCGCAGCCGCTCCGTCGCCGTCCCCACAGGCCGGCGGCCGCCCGCAGCCGTTTCAGCAGCAACAGCAACATCAGCAACAACAGCAATATCAGCAACAACAGCACGCGGCCGCGCCCTCGCCGCCCGGCACGCGCATCATCCCCATCCAGATTGAGGGCGCCGCCCCGCCCGCGGCCCCGACCCCGGCCCCGCCGCACCACCAGCCACAGTCCCCGCAGAACATGCAGCAGCGCAGGCCCGTGTACGTGCACAACAAGTTCAGCCCGCCCTCGCCTGCATGCACGCCCTCGCCCGCGCACGACAGGTAGGCCCATGCACACAGCCACGCCAGCAATTTCCACGTCCTCTTCATCGTAAGAAACCGGCACTTCAAACACGATTCACGGTTACGTGCTCATGCCTGTACTCCAAAGTTAGGCTAAATAGCGGAAAACGCTATTCCACCAGAATTAGCGTGAGAAATCACGTGACCTACGTAGCCCTCTTTAAGTAGAAACGTGATCACGGTGTAAAACGTAATCACGGTCTCAGAAGTAACGTTGCAAACTTCTAGGGCGGAGAGGTGGAGAGGTAGAAAATTTTCACTATTTGCCAATAAATACGAAGTGGGAAATTTCATGGAACGGAGTTAACGCGACTTTGCCCTTAATTGTTAGGCAACGTATTTTGCTGAAACCGAAAACGAATGAAACTGTTTCAGTTCATGTTCCTTTTTTTAAAAGATCTTAATTTCGCGCAACTTGTCACATTGGGTCCACGTTCTGCGAAGTTACTTATCGTGTAAACAACGCTTGAGTGAGGTTGTCAAAGATATCACATTTTGCTTATTTTAAAAGTGGAATGTAGGCGGATTTACACAGTGTAGTATTATAATTTTTTGAACAGCTGGAGTTTGATGTAGTACAATGAAACTTTCTAGTCTGAAGTTTATATTTAAAAAATAAAACCTTTTTTTTTTTTTAGTTGTTTCTAATATTAATTTTTTAATGTCCAAGGAACACTTTTCAGGAAAACCGATCACATTTAAAATTTGAAACTTTGCTGAAGTACTCCTGAAATACAAATAAAAAAAATGACTGCACCGAAATTGCGATATTACACACACACACACACACACACACACACACATACACACACGTACTAATATGTGACATTATTTGATGCAAAACATTTGAACTTACAAAATCATCATGAAGAATCTAAGCAAATTTGAAACTAGGGGTGCTACAAAAGCACATACTTTGTTGCAGTATTTTTAATGGCTCTGCAATATTATACTACTACATGAACCTGCAAAATTATTTTCAACCAGCAATTTTTTTTTTCTGCTGAGACTCAAAATCAGGTCCATTGAATTACCTCGCTGTTTGCTTTACTGTTACTCCAGGCAGTTGCTCTGACATGCTCATGGGTTGGCACCTGAAAATCTATTTGTATTTCTATTTTCCATTATTTCCTACATGCAATTTTCAAAACACTTTTCACTAAGCATTGAACAGCCAGTACATTGCACAGAAGAATAAAAGAATAATATTTATCTGTAGTTTGGTAATTGACAGTGATCTATTTCACTTTTTGACTGAATCTAATCAGAAATGAGACCTCCCTTTGAAAAATTAGGAGTGGGCATGATAACATGGACAGGATTTGGATGCATTGTCATTTTAAAAATAACAATCTTCTTTTTCTCTACTTTTTCTTAAAATTAATTTCATTTTATTTCTTAATTAACAAGATTATTTATCTTACTGGAGTTAAAAATGCCTTGCCAATATTTGAAAACTCTTATTACTGATTATATTGAGTGATGTTAACTATTTAATGAAATAATTAATAACACTAACCCTAAAGTGTATCAGACATACTTTGCATTCTTTTTCCTCCTGTTTTTATATCTTATGAGAGGGGCTTGCCATACATTCTGAAAAAACAGGATGTATTCTGAATATCAGCACATGTCCTTCTGCTCCACCAGATTTTTCGTTGTTTCTGAATTTTTTATGTAACAATTCTTCAAAGTCAAAAAAAAATATTGCGTTTTGGGACTACATGTACTGCATCACAGAACTATGTGCTATATTCAAGAATGCAAGTGGCTAATTCCTTTGCCAAGCAAATATTGTTATTTTGATCTTTTTATGGTGCAATCTGAGAGCCGAAAAATAGATAAAGAATGAACGGTGTGATTTGAATCTGTATCTCTCACAATGTGCCAGAGAATCTGGAATGGAAGGGGCAAAAGGGCTCAGTCAATATCAGTGTTTTAATGTCGACCCAAGTCATGCTTTATTTAATATTTTATTTAAATACTCTCAAATACTTCACAAATTTTGTAATGGAAAAATTAGACAATGACCTGGATTACCAAGAAAAGTCAGGGAAATTCATACTAGAAAAAGAATGCTCTCCCTGTTATTCTAGAAAGTGTGCAAAATAATTTATCTTGATCTTCTACTTAGTTGTTTAATTTTTATATTTCCTTGTTGCACAATTTACTTGATATACTATTTCCTAGTTATATGATATACTTGATATACTGTGTAGTTGAATAAAATAAAAAAAATTGCTTTGAAATATATTTTGGATGTCCTGAATTCCATTATTTTTATGGCAACCCTACTTATGAGTCTTTCATCTTGTTATTCTCTATTTACCTGACTTCAAAAGTTTCATTCTTGCATTTACAGTGCACCTGCTCAGAGTCCTCGCCAACTGCAACAGCAGCACAGCTGGGGAACTGGAGCAGGTCCAGCAAGCCCAGCTCCTATTCAGTCAAGATCCTTCAGAGTGCTGCAGAAGATTACGGATACTGATCAATCAGAAGATGGTAACAGAATTTTATCAATACTAAGAAAATACATGTTAATTGACAGCAAAATATATATTCTAAAGGGATTATTATTTACTACACCAGGGGAAGATAGAGAGACAAATTTTGGGAGAGGAAATTAAAAATGTTTTGTTTGAATGTGTGATTACAGATTTTGTAAAATGTCACAGGTTACACTCAGTTCATGCTGCTACACGATGTTATTCATTTTAATGATTATTCAGGGAAAAAATTGCTTGAAAGTTTCATGACATGTTAAAATTAATAGTTACTGAAAAATTTTATGGGGAGAAATTTCCCTAATTTCCCTCTCCTTGGATCCGTGCCTGCTATACACATGGTCATACGTTATCTTTCTTCTTAAAGTATGAAAATGCATATATGTGTGTGTTTGTTCCACAAAACACTGTGAACCACTAAAGCAAATACACTTAAATTTGAAATACATCAATGATACAAAATAATGTATTCAACATTGCAAGTTATAAATAATGAAAATTTTAAATTGATTTCCATGTTTCTGAAGCAGTGTAAAGGGAATATTCTGTGTTAATAATATAAATAGTCACCATCTAATTACGATTTTCATTTCAGAGCAAACAAGTCAACAAAATCAGTGGAGTCAGCAAACACCTCAACAAAGTCAGTGGAATCCTCAGTCAACACAGGGTGTTCCAGTGCATGAATTACGCAAGTTGCAACTCAGTGAGGATGATCGTGCTCTAATGAATAAGTTCAAGGCTCAAGGTGAGAATAATATTCATGTAATGAACTGTAATAGCTTTTGTGCTCATTCAAATACCTGTTCTTTAAGGAAAAAATATTCTCATTGCATGGCCTAATTTGGTTGAATTAAGGTAATTAAAAATATTATATTCTTCATATTGCATCTTGTATTGTTTGTGTTAGTAATATATTTATAATATAACTTGAAAGTAAATCTTTTTAAGGAATTTAAATAACTATTTGTAGGGTTTGGTGTTTCAGTTACAAAAAACAACATAAAAAAATGAATTTTTATAAAAGTAGTTAATTTTATTTAGTTGCTTCTTATATAAATTATGTGTTTTGGAATACAGATATTTAGATTTTAATATCGACTGTGCAATTTTTTTATTTTTTATTTTAATAAATTGCTTATTCACAAAACCTCAGAAAATTTCTACATCATGAAATGATACAACTAAATTTGAATTGAAGGTTTTGTAATTAAAGTAAAAAAGCAAGCCTTTCAAGAATATAAATTTGTAAAATTACAATAATGATCTCTGAAGAATTCATCAATATGATAAATTGAAGTTCCAAATTTTAAAAAATTAATGTCTCATTGTTTAAAAACAATTTTAAAAAACGTTTTTGAGAGAGTGATTTTCAGATGTTTTATAACAGTACTGTTGTAGTATATACATTAATTTTAAAAACTAAGATCTGTAATAGAGTTCTTTCATTTCTCATAATTACTCAAGCAAAATTACTACCATAATCAGGAGGTATTCCCACAACAGTTTCAGAGGAACCCAGAATTGATGAAGAAGAAAATCCAAGGTACAGAGGGGGTCACATTCCATCTAGAGTGTTCAAGATGCTTGACGAAAGTGGTATATAACCTTTTCTCTTTTATAGAATAGATCTTGCCTGCAGAAAGCTTTTTGGGCAAGCTCTTGAAATATTCTTTGGGAACTGGTGCAGAACTCAAAACACTTATATTCTTCATAATTTCATTTAGATTAGTTTATTTACTAACAGCTTCTGGTGAAAGGGGTATACATGCTTGAAGGTTTGAGCTTGTAACAGAAGTATTAAATTATTCACAAATGTCTCTTTTCCTACAGAATATTCTTGAAACATTATTTTACAGCGTTTTGTTCTCTAGACATTATTTCACTGCAGTTCACCGACGTCAAAGATTGCTGAATGTTGTATTTTAGTATTCACACACAAAGTTAAAACTGTCTCAACAATTTTTAAGTTTGGCCTGCAGCAAAAAAATTGTTATAAAAGTAGTATTCAAATGTTTCTTGAAACATATTTAAATTCAGTTTTAGAACAAATTTAGTTATATTCATAAATAACTTATTTACCACAGCATCTTTTCATTAAAAGGAATGAAGAAATTACAACTAAAAGCTACATTCTTATTTATTTTTCTTCGTTGAATGAAAACAATGATATATAATTTTATTTATGATCTGTTGATGACATAATAAAAATTATTGTGAAAGTCCCATATTACTCCTTTCAATCACATATCTTCCTCTTTACTTAGCTCTAACTCACTCTGCTTGGTACTTTCCTTTGTTGTTTAGTGGATGAGGATTCATTCCTCCATAATGAGTCGGACCCTAGGTACAGAGGGGCCTCCATCCCTTCACGTGCTTTCCGCATGCTGCAGAGTATGACGGATGGTGCAGGTGGTGATTATGCTGACCAGCACCAGGGTAGGCCCCATCAGCCCTTAATGGTGGATGATTTGTGTTCTTGTTTGTAGTTTTGTGGGTTGATTTGAGTTTTTCATAGATTTTTATTTATTTTACTTGACAATAGTTCTAGTTCCATTTTTGTTCATAAAAATAACAAAACCAAATGCATGTATGATACTTGTAAAAACAATAAAATCAGTAATATTAAAACCAGAATTAATGAAGATGCTGAATATCATTTGTCTTTATTATAAAATGATACAGAGAAAATCCGGCTTTCTGTGCATCTCACTATTGCTTTCCACGATTGCTTTGATGCTAATGAAAATTTAATGTGTATTATTTCACCTCATTTTGTATTTTTTACACATATCATTTAAATTTTTCTCTTTTGTGACAACCCAGAAATGGTGCTTTATCACTTCATTTAAGAAAGTTTGTTAAACTGAGACTAAAGATTCTAAATGTGCGCATTATTTCATTTCAGAATATGAAGAATGAGTGATCATTTACATGCTTTGAATGTAGAAATTTAGTGTTATAATTAATTTTTAGTTGCATGGCTTGAAAATTTATCATTTTCAGCTTTAAAACTGTGGCTGATTGATAAGGTTTTTTCATGTACACACACACAGCTGTCTCACACGAGCTATGAGTTTCAGGATGGTTCAATGGGCAATGTGGACAATGATGGAACATCACATAATTTTGATCACTCAATAAATCCTGTTAATAATTCATAACTCCACATTATGCCCAAAATGAACACATCCAATCATCATCAATTAAAACTCTTGGTCCAATGTCAGCATATATGACATATTTGTACAAATTTCCTACCTAGTTCTACAGTGTAAGCAACACTACAATGCAGTCTTCATGGAATATTTCATTGTATGTTTAGGAAACAATCTGAAGCAAATTCCCATTCCTTCTCAGTGGATCTCATATTAGAGCTTTACCTTAATGAACAGTTCCTCTTGGTTCAGCAACCTGATAACATTTGCTACCTGGAATGTGTCCATGGAAAATTTTGTTAATATTTGGTAATGAATGCATGGAGTAAAAGCCGCAGGTGCAACAAAAAGAGACTGGAATTATTTTCTGTATTGTTGCATGAAGGACTACATTGCAATCACGACAAGGCAAAAAGAGCAGCATGATGAACTATATATTCTAGAGCATGGGTTCAATGTATGTGTTATGGAGCATGAAAATAAGTTTTGTTTCAAAGAGTGATAATATTGTTGTTGTTAGTTTATAAAAACTGAGTAATTTAATGTTACATTATTATAAAGTGATAATTATCTTTCTGCATTGCAAGTCTTTCATGAAAACTACATCATAGTTGCAATTTCAAATCTGAAGAGTATATCTAATGTGAGCTACTTTTGTAGTTTTCACATTTATTTATGTTTTCTTGGGTATGCTTGTGGAGTTGCAAATTTTGATCAGGTATTCAAAAATGTTTTTGTTTCAGTCCCTCGTAGTGGAGGCCCTGTTCGTTCAGGACCTCCCACAATGTCAGCTCACCAGCCAGCTACAGGTAAATCATTTAGGTTTTCCAAAGAAATAGTTTCCATAGTTGAAATTTAATGAGGAGCAATAATAATTAAATATGATGTGAGTAACAAAATAAGTCACACAAGCCTCAGGAATACTACCATAAGAATTCTTAAATATATATTAATATTTTGCTTTTGTCCAAAGCATGACTTGCCTTTTTACTTCTCCATATATAAGATACAGAAGTAACAAGATAAACTATACTTCAACCAAAATCAAGATCTTGACATTTATGAATAGTGGTAGACTTTCTAGGGCTAGTGTAGCTTATCTTGTCCCTGCCTGAAGCCCTGGGAACTAATGATTGAATTGTGTTCCAGAGTCAGCTCCACAACCATATATCCCTCCTTCTGAACAACAAGTTCCAGAGCCTCGAAAATATGTTGGTGGCAGCATACCATCACGTTCTTTCAGGATGTTACAAGCAATGACCGGTAGTCCAGAAAGTTGTGGTAAGCAGTTATTATTGCTTGTAAATCAATGAATGTCAGTATGTTGTTGCAAACAATATTCTTTGTCTTAGACATAGCTCAAGTTTTAGACTGCATCATTTTAGATTATCCTCTCATTTTTCTTATTATTAAATCACTCAGTATTTTAGTTAGGATCCAAAGACTTATGGGTTAAAACTTATTTATTCAAGCATATTAAAATTAGTAGGCAAGACAGTTTTCCTGTAACACACCATTCTTTTTTGCTGAACAGTAACTTTTTATATACTAATTGTGAAGTTTTAAGCTTGTGAACACAGTTTTTAAACATCAAATCTACTCTTCTAACTTCATATTTTGAGGTTAAATAATTTACCTCTCTTATGCTTTTGTATTGTCGTTAAATGATTCAAACAAATTATTAATTATCTTTGTAAGGCACATCAGAAAGAGAAAACATGTTTTCAGTATTATGTTTAATTTTATTATTAATTTTTTTGTATTTCTTCTTCTATTTTCCCCCTTTTTTCTTCTTGTTCTTGAGAGACATGCTGAAGCTTCATGGAAGTTAAGGAGCAAATTGTAATCTTCATTTTTTAATTAAACAACACAAATTCAGATCCCTGACAGTAATTTCTAATACTATCAAATATCTTCTTCTCCTTATTTTATTTGTTGTAGCAAGTGTCACGTCGCCAGACGGACGTGAGACACCTGTCTCAGTCTCCAAACAGGGCTATGATGAGAATGGGGCTGGGCTGTGGGGTCCTTATGATCCTAATATGTCCCCCTACCCTCCATATTGGTGTCCTGAGGCTTGGTGGGGTTACTACCCTCCTCCTGAAGCAGAAAATCAATCACCATCTCAACAGCGTCAGCAGCAGAATCAGACTCCTGTGCCACAGGAATTCTGGGATCCATATGCTGCAATGTATGCATACAATGCTGCTTATGGGTACCCTCCAATGCCTTATCCTATGTATCCACCACCACCTTTTGCTCCTCCTTTTCGTTATCCACACAGTGGTAGTGATTCAGATGAGTATTCAGGATATTCTTCAACAGATGAGATGGCTTATTACAGTGCAAAATTTGCTCGTGGAGCTCACCTCATGAATGGAGTACGCCCTCCAATGACTCCCCGTTCTTGTGTTACGTCTGCTTCAAATCAAGCTTCAACTCCTGCATCAGATTCCACTCCAACTCCAACTCCATCAACTGTAGATAAAGCTTCTTCAGAAGAAAGGAATGAAAAGGACAAAGCTGGAAAGGTTAAAACAATGTTAGAAAATAAAGCCCAAGACTCTGAGAGTTCAGTAACTCCAGCAGAATCTTCAAGTTCAGTTTCTGCCCCCGAAGAAGAATCAAGTGCTCAAAGTAGTTCAGATGAAGAAAGCAGTGGATCGGACACTGAAGTTGAAGAGGAGCAAGATTCAAAACCTTTAGACAAAAAAGGTAATGGTAGCGGAAGTGGAAGTGCATTACAGATGATTCGTTCTGTATCTGATATAAATGTGTACAAAAATAATTCTAAATCAGAAGTTGGAGATTCTGAAACAAATGATGAAGAAACAGAACAAGAAGAAAGTGAGGAGGAGGAGGAGGAGGAAGAAGAAGAGGATGAAGAGGTGGAAGAAGAAAATGAGAACGAGGAAAGAGAGGAACATCTTCCTCATCAACTTAGTGTTATATTTGAGGAAAGTGAACAGAGTGATGTTGAAAGTGTGAAACATGCAAAATCTTTAGGAAACAGTTCAGAAAGTGTGAATCCAAGTGAGGATGGAGATAGTTCCACTGCCACATTAGATGATGGGGATGATGACGATGATGATGAAAGTGATGTTGATTTTGATTCTGTTGATCCAGCATCATCAACAGTCACTGTGCGATTGCCATTAAAATTAAAATTTAGCCGTTCTGCCAATAATGAGGAAGTAACAACAGTTATTGTGGGTAATAGTCAAGTAAAACGAACAGAAGCAGAACTGGAATCATTCACAAAAGAAGTTACTACCAAGGAAAAGGAAGAAACTGTTGTTGCTGGTGGGAAAGACAATGCTGTCAAAGATAGTGCTGCTAAAGAGAGTACTACTAAAGGCAGTGCTGCTAAAGACAGTGCTTGTGGAAAAGTTGATGTTGGTGGTAGAAGAGATAGTGACACACCTAATGTGTCAGTTACTATATCATTCCCCTCTAAATCTAGTCCTGCGTCAAGTCCCACTGAGACTCCAGGTTCTCGCTTCTCTGATAATAATGTTTGTCGACAGATGAGTACAGAGAGCTTGGATGTATATGAAACTTGTGAGTCAGATTCTGATGTGTCTGTGTGTTTGTCTCTTCCTTTGAGAAAGAAAACTTCTGTTAAAAATTCTCCAAGATCTACTCCTACCATAAGCAACATCTCAGAGGAGGAAGATGATGAAAGTAAAACAAAGGCAGATGAGAGTGATACATTAAGTCACTGGGATGATGATTCAAGTAGCACTAGCATTCAGACTGTAAAGCTATCTTCAGGCTCTGGCAGATCAACAGCATCTGATATAGGTAGTAAATCTGAGAATGAAGATGCAACAGTGCGAAACAAAAACCTTAAAGGAAAACAACTTCCAAGTAAAATTGTTAGAAAACAAGAATTTGTTACTATTAAAGAAACTCCAGTAGATACTGAACAGCCACCCAAAGAAATAAGCAAAAATGATAGTAGCAGTGAAAGTGAGAGTGAGAGTGAAAGCGAAGAAGAGAGTTTGGAATCTCCTAAAGAGAAGAATGGCAGTATTAACGAAGTGAAAACTGAAATTACAAGTTCCAAGACCAAGGAGGAAGATAATATTGCCTTAACTAATGGAAAAACAAACAATGAAGAGGATGATAGTAGTGAAGAATCAGAAGAAAGTGAAGAGGAAGATGAAAATGAAACAGATGCAGAAACAGCAGTGATTGTAAAGAAAATCTATGATATTTGCACAAAATCAGATTCTAAATTGAATCAGATTCAACAAAAGCTTGAAAAAATTAATGAAGCTGAAGAAAACAAAAATAATGGTGAAAGTATATCCAGAAACAATAAGGAAATTGATGGAGAAAATGAAAATGACACTAGGAGAAGTAATTCCAAGCTTCAAGAAGAAAGTGAAGAAGATGACTCAGGAGTTACATCTGACATGAGTCGACAGATATCTGATGCTGACACTGACGGAGATTCAAATCTGAATGAACTTCAGTTACAGTGCCAGCGTGTTGCTACACATTCACGTCTTTTCAAACTATTACAAGATGAATGCAGCAAAAGTGATGATGAAGATGAGGATGATAATGTAAAAGAAGATCAGGAGAAGAATGAGAAGGAAGTTAAAAGTGTTGGTAAACTTAAGTCAAGAAAAGAACATCTTTCTTTGCCCTTAAGGCACAATAATTTAAGTGATCCTGATAGTTTGTCATCCTCATCTGGTGTAACATCTCCTGCATCTCCAACTGTTACTGCAAGGCTTGTCAAAGAATTAGTTCAAACATTACTGCAAAGAAAGAAAGGTCGGCGCCTTAAAAAGTTACCTATTGCTAAGTTACATGCAGCTGCCCTGCGACTCCTACAGGAAGATATGGATCCATATGACACTGTTAGCTCCGCAGGGTCAGAAGAAGGCAATAACCCATACCATTCGCCTGTAAAGGCGCGTGGGAAACCTCAGCATTCCAATATCACTAACACTGCCACTCCAGCCACTCCAGTCAGCCATAACACTGCCAGCACACCACTGCCTACTATACCCTCTCCTGCTCATATGATGTATGGTGCAAATTATTATGACTATTGTGATTATTACAATTCATGGGCTAATGCAGCATATTACGGTGCAGACCCTGCATTTGAATACAATATTGTGCCATCACGGGCTTTTAAACTCTTGCAAGAGCATGCCCAACCTTCTGGGTTTAGCTCTGGAGTTATAAATGGCCTATGGGGTAAATGTCCTAGAATTCCAAGTTCTAAGAATCTTCAAAAGGACTTAGCCCAGGCTGGAATTGTGAAAGAGAATCAAAATAAGACTGCCAACCTTACTGATAATGATACTCCCTCCAAATCCTCAGTTCCAAGTGAATCTCCCTCACAGCCTCTAGCCTCAACTCGAGCCACGTGAAGTGTGAGAGACAAGATAGGTGGATACACAGAGGGGGTGATCGCTCGTTCAAATGTTCGAGGTTTTTGGTAGACATTTGAGATGTCTGTAGCAGGTCGGCCGGCTGGGTCTTACCCAGGAGGTACACGAAGTCACCCTCTTATAAAAGTTTTGTGATTTGGTTCACCTAATCAATTTTATGCGTACCGTAGTTAATCTTTTATTAATTTTATCTTTGCTATTTTTTAATCATTCATTTTTTTGTATAGTAGAATGTATTATTTGCAATAAAAGTTTTGTGTAAAAACTGTCTCTCTGGAGTAAACTCCACCTTACCAATTGAATTGTGAGGCACACAAATATATTTTTAATTCTGGCAATAAGATTTTTTTGCAAGTACTTAAACACAGTCTTAAATACCATTCTTATGTGTGTTTCTGTAGAACCAGAGAAGTATTATTTTATTAAAATGTGAGCTTAATAACTGCTACTGCTTTGTACACATTATGCAGTCCTTTGTGAAACAGTTCGTTAACAATGAATTACCAGATTAACTATAATATTCTGCAAGTTAGCATGAAATTACTTTCAAAATACACAGATATCAATTGAGAAGGTTTATTTTGATTGTAAGAGCAGCCAGGCAGTTATGAAAATAAACAAAGAAACAAGCAAATACATTGATTCTGTTGCATCTTGCATCTCTGTTCGTTATATAATACATTAACCGTTAATAGCAAACGTACATTTCCTGTGATGGAGTTTCATTTTCTGAAATGTAACTCGCACTTTACAGACTGCTTACAAAGGTGCAGTTTGCTTCAAAGAGATTTATTACATATTTCCTCTTCTAACATTTCATATGTGTGTATTGGATGGACGGAATTACTTAATTTGTAATTTTTCATAATCTTGTAACATTTCTTTATTCAGAATGAAGAAGCATGTCCTGCTTTCAAAATGAAGAACACGGTGTACTTATTGTCTTTAATAATAAGATAGCTTTGGAGATAAATCTATTCTCAAATTTTTTCCCAATTCAGATAACTATAAAAATAGCACGAATATTTTTGAAAAACAGCAAATTTGAGACATTAATTTGAAATATGAGAGGAAAATAATTGTATTTATGTACTTACAAACTTGTTTACAAAGGTTGTGAATCGTATTTATTATTTTTGCTGATGCAGAAAATATGAACTGGTGCAGGTTTAGGTAATTAGTAAGTACACCTTGCCCTTCTCTGAATGTGTTATGATAACTAATAACATCAGCATGTAAAAAGAGACATGTTTGAAGTGGCAGTTTTATGGTCTGTAATTGATGAAATGCAAGAGATTTTGAATACTTCTGCAAAATACTCTGCTGGAAGCTGTATTATCTGACTATTGTAATAGTGAACTTCTTGTTGCCTGTTCATTATTGTATTGCTGCCAATTTTCTGCAGAGAAATTATTCAATAGAAGAGTGCGATAAAATTATGGTTTCCCTATGTTGTCACATGTTTACATACCTGTTTTAAAATGAAATTTATTGGGGGTATTTAAATTATGTATGTTTCAAATCATTGTCCTTGTATTCTGCATGTTGTTTGAATCTTCAGTATTTTTGTTGATTTTTTAATGTATTTTTAGTTTTACAAATTAATACCACTGCTGTTTTTTCTTTTGTATTGCTATAACAACGCAAATCAATGAATTTGTTTGGTTTCTGAGTTTTGACAGTTATTTGTGGAGAATCCACTCTGAAAAAGCAATATAGTCAAAGTATGCATCAGTTGTAGATCATTCTAGAACACTTGATTTTTTAAACATTAGCTTCACAAATTGATGTTTCATGAACTGTAGTGAGTACAAAGAAGTAAAGCAAATTGTACTTCTTCATAGAGTGTAATAATTTGTGTATTACAGTGACTTAAATCAGTTCTACTCTTCCAGGTCCCGGTGAGTCAGAATTGTGAAGGACCCTGGCTGTGGAACATTGTTTCAAAGCTCAACATGCCCTGCTCTCTCCGCAGCACTAGCCACTAGGAGCAGTGTTCAACAATCCCTGTTCTTTTATTGTTGGTATAAAAATGTCAGAATTATATTTCATAACTGTAAATGTTGTGCTAAATGGTGTGAATTTTCCACTTTTACTTGTGCTTTCTGCATTTGAAATGTTGTCACTTTGGTTAAAACCAAATATATAATACAGATATTTGACATGAGGAAAGAAAGCTGTGCACATAGCTTTGAAATGGTACATTTTACTTTTATTATATACTTTGTAAGTTGATTAAATAAACCATGGATGTAGAATTATATAAAACTTGCAATCATGGATAAGCGATCTTCAAAATGTGATTGTACCTGCTATACCTGTTGTGCAGTTACTTTGAAGGAAATGGCATTTTGAAATAAGCTAACAATACTTTCTGTTTGGTGGATAAGAATACAATGTTATCTCTCAGAGAAATAGTTTGCTTGTTGCAACAATAGTTTGAGGCTCATGATATTATTCATTATTTAATATTTTTCCATAAAAAATATGAAATTTATTCACTCATCTTTTTTTGTTACTCTGTTAGTTCAGAGGCACTTGAATGAGTTGCCTGGTTTGTAATCTATTTAAGGATAGGCAAACTGTAGAGAAAGTACAGACCTAAGTGGTGCTTGTAGACAAAAAATATATTTGTCTGCATGTTTGAACTTCATGTGGAGATTGTAAATGTTTGTAAATATACTACTATTTTCCATCACGTGTAATGAAAGAAATTAGAAGCAATGGGAACAGTTCTTGTGTCTCACAGATAGTGTTTTTGTTTAGAATGCTCTAGGAGTATGAAAGCATCCGTTTGTCTTCACAACCAGCACAAGACTAGCTGCCATGCACTAAAATTGATTGCTCCATGTCTTTTTGTGTGCCTTACTATGTTGTGCAAAATTTTTTACTTTCTCCTTACAAGTACTGTGTTGATACATGCAATACAGTATTTTAGACAAGGTCATGACATTTCTTTGATATTGACAACCTCCTTTTGTTTGCCAATTTCTCTTGTGATTTAATAACTAACATTCTTTCTGTGCTAGAATCGTGTAACAATGTTGACTGACATCTTTGTAGAAACAGCTATTTTGTGTAACATTTTTAAAAAGTGTAAGATTTTTTTATTGATGAGCTCTGTGATTATATTTCTATACAGTTTAGGATGGTACTTGAACACTCAAAGAACATTTGAGAAATAGTCATTCTGAAATTGTATTGAGCACAAATATTTGTTGTGCAGTGTTTAAAGAATGAAAGAAAATAAATTCTTTTAAAGTGTACTCTTTCAACTATTAATGTGTCCTTTTATTTTATTTTTGGGCAATACTGAGTTGTAAATGTTTCTCAGCATTGTTTTTGTGAAATTGGACATATTTGGTGTGGTTTAAAAATAAGGGAATGGAAATAAAATTAAAAATTGAAAGATGATACTGTACTCGATTTTCTGTGCTTTTGAAGTTTAATAGTTTTTCATGGAAAGAAATATTAAGATGATGGTGTTTGTGTATAAATTTTTGATCTCATTTCAAAATTGCTTATTTTTTGTCTGGTGGGAAAAAATTGTTTATGTAATTTAATGTATAGTTTTAATTAGTATGGTTCCCAACTACTAGACCTTAAAATTGTTCAAATATTTCACTAAATGGAAAATTATTCTTGTTATTCAGAGTTTTATACCTTATATTATGCTTTTTAAGTTTATTGAAATGTAAATAGTATAACAGTAAGTCAAACAGTAAAGCTGTTTACTTGCAATCAAGGAATGTTGATAACTTTTGTACAGTAGGTTACAGAAAGGGTTCAAAACATGTTTGTTCAGTTGTCTGTAGATGGTATGCATACATGTTTTAAATTTTCATTACCTTAGAACAGATCCTAAGAATAACAAATCAGAACTGGAATATTAGGTACCTATATAGATCAATGTGTTGCATTTGTCATGCAATTTTATTCATGAAAATTGTGAAGGTTTATGTGCATATCTAGCTGCAGTTACACATGTTAGAAGATCTGAGAGATACAGCCATCTCCACTTATATCTATTAAGTTTGTAGGTTAAGCGACCTCTTCTCTGTGTTTCTATTTCCTTGTTTATTGCTTATGAGATTACTATGTGCAGAATTATGTTTTGTAAAGAAAGGAAGCTTTTAAGCTTAATTTTGACAGAAAATTTATTACAAATGCTATTTTTGTGTGCTTTGTAACAGGTTTATAAATAAAGTAAATTAAAGTAGATTTAATGAGTTGTATCGACTTTAAATCCAGTAATTAGTAATCTATTTGAAATTATTTCTATGGTTAGCAAATTGAAATTTAAAAGGATTTGGATAGAGTTCAACTATCCAAATATTAGTAATCAGTGGTATAAAAATATTAATGTTTCCCTCTCAAAATTGATTATATTTTTGGGTTACAACCCATGCAATTATTTATCATGAGAGGTTAAAGAACAGATTTGATGCTTTTTTTTTTCTTCATATGATTCACACTTTAATTGCTACTTTTGTTTATTTATTCATCATCAAAAAACATTTAAGAACAGGTACTGGCAAATAACAGAGAGGCTCAATCTGTACATATTTTCTTGAACTCTATAATCTCTGTATGCCCTCTTTTACTACACCAAGTACAGTTAAAGTAGCAACTAACACTTTTGGCAAAATTAGTTGACAAGGAATATTCATTCTTATGTAATAGAAACTATTTGCAATTCCAAATGAGTTACAGATTTGGGCTTTAATCCTTTACAACTGAAGGAATTGATTTATTATTGTGCGATCGTGAAGAACAATAATTTGACAATACTCTTAATAAAATAATTAAGTTTCATACTAATGCTTCACAGATCTCAAGAAAACGTGTGCAGATAGCGAAGGCACATTTTGGTCCAAAAGCATTGCAAGGGGACATCTCATATCATGAAGCTAAAGTACAATTCCAGTTGAAGGCATATTAATTAAAATTTTAGAATTAATATAAATGGTAACTAAAGCATGAATCTCACTTATTAAATAAATATTATTATTTTATTATTTGACGCTCAGTCTATTTTTAAAATAAATATTATATTTTATTATTTGATGCTCAGTCTAGTCTCTAATTATATAAAATCAGTTATTCAGAAGAAAGGATTTTATTTGATTAATTTTAACTTGTATATCTATTTTATTGCTTAATGTTATCTGACAATGTATTGTTAAATAACATTCATGCATTATGAGATGATTTCATGTAGTGAGTTGTTGATATTGAGCTGACTCCTGATAAATATGATTCCAATCGCATTTTTTAATTGTAGGGATCTGTTTTGGATGAAAGTATGTTTTGACTCTCTGAGTCTATCTGAGTGTGTCTTGTTTTGACAAAAATAATTGATTCATACACGAAGTGACAAGGCAACACAAACTCAATAATAAGGCTTTCAGGAATGATTTTTACATTTCTTTATTAGAGAAAAACATTTAAAGAAAAAATTTGAAGCCATTTTGAGAAAATATTACTTTTAATTGCCTTTTCTTCAAGCAAAAATTAGGCAAAAACTACTCTTTCTTTCAAAAAAATATTCATGATTTTTTAAAGATGTATTTTAGAACATTATATTAAGGAAAAAACTCTCTATTAACAATATTGTAGTTTCGCAAAGTTATTTTTTTGTTATTTTCCACTGAAAATGGGACATGCACAATTTTTATAATCATACATTGCTCTATACAAGAAAAAAATTAAAGAAGCTAGTGATACATCAGATTGGCACAGACTTTCTCATACTAAGTCGTTAGTTTTCAAATCTCTTGCATCTGGGCAGCTAGTCTTTCAGTATTGCCCCACACTCCTTCCAGCTGCTACCTATCAGTGCCCAAAAGTCTTTTAAAAATATCTCAATGTTTTGGTACAATAAAAGTAAAATTGAAATATTATGATAAAATAGTAGAATGACAACTATGTAAATTTCCATTGAAGAATTTGACGCCAGGTTTAGGAAAATGTCATTTTAGCATTTCTGAAAATGCACAATTTTGAACTATCAATGAAGACATTTAAGTTTTCTAGAAACTTAAATTCCAAATTATTAGAAGTTTGTACAATTAAGCAATAGTGTATGACAATAAGCCAGAAAAATGACTATTAACTAAGTAAGAAATATTCTTTAAAAAAAATTCATTTATGTAATTTTTGAAAAATCAATAGAATACATAGAAACAGGTTCATGTCATGTTATTCAGTGCATTTATATCTATTCATACAAAAAAAGTTGATGTAACGATGTGTATGTGTATAAAAAATTACATTTGGGTAATGAAAGTGCATAAAAATGTAATTAAAGTTCTTTGCTATATTCTGTCGCTGTTTTAGTTCTTTTCTTGCATCTTCGAATATGATACCGTTCACACTGCTCACCACAGCGAGCGCACGCAGGCTTCTTTCACTTCGTGGTGATGTGAGGTTGCGCAGATTTGTGATGATTGTGATGAAACCCATGAGTCGCCAGTCTTGTGATCACGTGTTTTAATTCCTGATTTGTTTCTGTCCTTTTTCTTTCCATCGTTGCTTCTGTTGAGTAAAATTCTGGCCATATTTCTCTCACTTCTTTTTTCTGTTTTATAGCACTGGTGTACATTGCCTGGTGGATGGTAGTAGTAATTGATATCTTAAGTCCTCAATGTAAAATGGTTCGCTGGACAGTTCATATACTAATCTTCATTTTGTGTTCTTTGGAAGATACGCGACTCACTTCAAGTATCTTGCCTTGGTTCTCTCTATGGACCTTAAATCAGCTATTGATAGTTTCTCCCGTATTAATTGTATTCCGTATGTTATGATTGGGCTAATGCATGAAATATTTTTTGATTGCTGATTCTAATGACAGTTTGTGGATATTTCGTATTGACTACCTGACGCAAATCGCTGTTGCTGCTTTTTCTCTCATATGAATGAACTGCCTGTTGTCTGAAGTCTTATCAACACCACCTAGATATAGGTGGTGTTGATAAGACTTCAGGTGGTATACCACCTAGATATAGGTGGTATCTAGGTGGTGTTGGTCTTATTCCTAAATATCTGCAATATTGTTACGGATGCGTTACAAAGGGGTGAGGGGGATTCAAAATACTCCATATTTGCGTTAGGTAATTTATGGATGGCTCCTAGGGTAGCATATCGGAAGTTTAAAATAGTTCCTCGATTTTTACGAAAATTGAATAAATGCTTCGAAATAGCCAAAAATGTCTTCCTCTTTAATTGTCTGTTTGGTAAAATTCTTGAAGTACCCCAGGACGTGCGATTCAGTTAAGATGTGTGCCAACTGTCTTGCACAGTTACATTTTTCTAAACTGATATTTTCACAACTTTGTCCCTGGTAGGTATCAGCTATTGACAGTTTCACCCAATTGGGAGCTTAAACGTCACCATAGTGCCGTCACTATGGTGACGTTTAAACTCCCGATTGGATGAAACTATCAACAACTGTTATTACTCGCGCAACTTTTCTTGAATGGTGGTTTGAAGAAATCGGGTAGAATGGGGGTATTAGTTACGAAATCGGCCACTAAATTTTACAAAGCAATGCCAATCTCTGGAGTATCAGTCACGCCTTCGTAACATTCTCAATAATTTGCGTCCTAACTTTATCAGGAGTTCGAGTTATCTCCTGTGATAGATCCGTACCTGCTTCGGTCATTTCTTAAGATTTTTTGAGAAAATAACCGATAGAAGTTCTCGTCTTCGAAAGAAAATTGTTTCTGTTTCGCGCCAGTGATGATATGTTTGAAATGTTGTCATCAGTGCTCGCTGCGAGCTTTGGCCTCCATCTGTTTATTGTGCCAGAGAGGGGAAAGTAAAGTCATCGTCCAAGAAAAGTTGCGCGAGTAATACCTGCCAGGGGCAGACTTGTGAAAATCGCAGTGTAGGGTGGCCACTGAGATTAGCGAGTAGAGGAGGAAGCTGAAAGTGGTGGGGAGGGAGCCAAGAGGCGGCGCTCGCTCGCGTTTGCCCATACCAAAAACATTAGCCTACCGCACCGCACGTACTTAGCGAACTTACTTGAAAATTAATTTGCTTTTCGTTCGGTAGTGGAGAAACACCAAATTCACCTGATGGTCCGGATCTGCTCTCACCATCTATATTTTTTACTCTGACATTGATACCAGTTTCCTCGCTACCATAATTTGTATCACTGTCATTACTATCGTTTGCGGCGTTTTCCATTGCAAAATAAATTATTTCTTGAATTTGTAAACCTTCCCGGCGTAGGGAAACGCGCGGTTAGGTCCCGGTTTCTAGCTCAGTCGGTCTACTCTTACTCATATAAAAACTAAGCCAATTGTAACAATTTCCTGAACTTAGATTCAGTGATGGGAGGCATTGTAACTAAAGCATGCATGGGCACTCAAAATAAACAATTTGATTACTGGTAAAAAGACAACGTTTATTCCTGGACAGGGCTGTACCAGGGAAGTTTACATCGATGAAAAGAAAATTGTGAATAAAATAAAATAAAAATAGAAATTAAGAAGAACTTACAACTAAAGAAGAGTGGTACAGAAAATTATTCTATAGATACAATTACAAATTTGTCCTGAGGATCTTTCGTGTGCCTCAGCGCGGCACCGCTTTAACAATAGTCTCTAAGGCTTATTTGACCCTGATTACGTTGCCTGGAACCCTCGTGGCAGATTGTGCTCAGATAGGCCCGTGCGAGCGGGACGGAGCTTGTGGGCGGCTGGGGTGTCCTGCCAGGAACCGGTCGGGCGCACCCTGACCAGCAGGGCGTCGGCGCGGCTGCGGGGCTGCGACGGTCAGTGAGTCAGCGAAGGGCGTCTTGGAGGCTGCTTCGGCGGAGTTTGTAGATGGCGGGGGTGTATTTGGCCCCCGAATACAAGTGCGGAGCACACAAAATTGTCTCCGAAGGCTGCGGTTCCTCTCGAACAAATTTAGCGAATGCGAATTTTGTAGCTAATAAGCAGTGGCAAAGGATTCGCATATCCCCCGTAATGCCTTTGCACTTCCTCTCTAATAAAAACTTCAAATGAATGCCAGTCCTAGAGGTGCACCCACCTTTGTCCGCGAATGCGTCCCCTGGAGGTGCACTCACCACTCTCCCGCGACCGGCTCCCACCCCAGAGAAGTCTCTCTCTCCTATGCTAATTTATTTCTCCTAAACGCACGAGGTTAACTTTTATCCCCACCTTTTTCTCCTCATATTGTTCTTGCTCCCTACAAAGATCGCTTGCTATTGGCTAAAGGTGATGGCGTTGTACACTAAATTTGGCCAATAGGGCTTCCGGCGGAGTATAGAATTTTTCCGTTCTCTGTTTCGAAAGTAGGTCACGTCTCTGAGGGTGCTCCCCCAGCTACTGAGATTATTGCTTCGGGTTCCGATCCACGATGACAGGCGTTTCGGAAGTATTCCAGATGCGGGCTCCGCTGGGCGCTTTTTACAGTTTACCCCTTTGTTCGGTTGTTGGGTGGGTGTCATAAACTTCAATGGGTCAGGGGACCGTGGCTGTTGCAAGAAGGGGGCTGCGCGCGTGACGCCGTATGTTTTTTTTTCAGTACAAAATTTCTTAGGTCTGCTTTACTCAATTTAATTTATCTCAATAATTCTGTACCGCTACAATATGGTGCATTTAAGCATTGTGTAGCGAATTAGTCTCTCATTGAAACCATGAGCCGAGAGCAGATTCTATGCTCTTCTTTCTCCTCCCTTTACTCGGAGTTGAAAATGATCACGATTCTTCCGACTCAATAGAATCCATTTCCTTTTTAATTCTGATGTTTTCCTTTTTAATTCTGATTCCTTCTAATTCTTATCTTTTGGAAACACTCATAGCAGCAGCCAAGAACTGCTTTGACATTTTTAATTCTTCCTTTTGCTTCTCTCTTCATAAATTAAAATACTTTTGCAAACACTTCGCGCGTCTGACGGTGACGGACTTCTTTATGCAACTTGCTCTGATCCGGTCGCATTGTCATTATCACAAACATAACTTTACGAATCACGTACAAATGTTTCACTCTAGTAGGAAACGCAACTAACTGCAAGTTTGCACTCGTGAATACGAAAGGTCAGGATCAATGTGTACACAACTGGAGTAGGGAAATCTTGGAACACACTCAGGAACACTTGCTGGGAAGCTCCTCTCTAAACCAGTAAGTTTGATGAAGGGACTCTAACGGCAGCCCTGAGCCCTTGATATTCAGCGGCCACGCTACAATAATACTACTGTACTAAGACCCTTTATATGGACATGTCTGTTTCTAGGCCTCTTCTATGCCAAAGTTTGGAAAAGAATACGTGGCCAGTTAAGAATTGTACCGCCTCTCTCGAACCTCTTAGTGCAGTGAACTATACAGTGAATAAAGCATTTGGTATAATTTTTTTCTCGTCCTTCTTGTTTCATGCGTGTCCGTTGCCACTCCTTCAGCAAAAGCAGCTTTTCTCAGCTTCGTAGAGCATTCTTGTTCAGCTTTTTCCCCGATACATCTACAGGTAAAACAATTACATAAAGCTCTTGCCAGGACACGGTTCCTGCTTAGGTTACGTACGACAGCACTGCCCCCAGATGTTCGAACTCATTCTTTTGTTTGGAATATGCGAATACATTGTTCGTCCGTCTGTGAACACCACTAGCGCCTTCGTACAAATAAATACTCGGAAATTACGTTTATGTCACGTTTTAGACACGTCGACGGGAGAATATTCATTTTAGAAATATCCTACGAATAGTTTAGGCGCTAGTATTGTTCATAGACGGCCGGGCAGACTGACGGACGGAAGTTTGACGAAAAACACTTTTTGACGTTAGGGAAGCCCAAAACATGTTTTCATGGTGGAAAAAAACGTGTATAAATAGTCTTTCGACCAATTCTGTTGAAATATCGAAATCGATTTTGCACAGCATTCCATAACTTATTGTACAAGACGTATTGTGGTGGAAATGTATCTTTCCACAATGGTATGTACTTAATATGTACGTATGTACTTAGCAGCACTGCCCTTTAATTACATGAAACGATCGCGATGATCAAGAAAGAAGTTCAAATGTTGGCGGAATATGAAATAACAAAATTTCACTATTCATATAAACACAATAGTACACACGGTGTTTTTTCTCTGATTGTTGGCAACGACATTTACCAACGCAATCATACAGCACAACCCTCCAATTTAAACATAAAATCACGAGCTTAAGGAGAGGGGGATATTGTCATCTAATCGGGAACTCCAGTACCAAAAAGTAGTCATAACGAAGCTCTCAATTAGATGACTCTCTCCCCTCCCTGTTCTCATGATCTTAAAAGGCCACTATGATTAATTTGGGGTATAGAAAGGCCACGGCTAAAATCGCTATAGTCCGATTTATTTAGGCGTGCACCAGTCGTTGCGGTTTTATCCAATCGAGATACATGTCGCTACAGTGACGTCACTTTGGGGACCTTCAAGCTCCCGATTGGATGAAACCGTGAACAGCTGATATACGTCATGTGCGTAGTTAAATAAATCCAAAAATATGACAAGAATGCCATTGCCAACGTACTCTCTGTCAACAATTAGAAAAATCCCTAAATAAAGTGTGAATGCTTGCGTTGCTTGCTCACATACATCAAAGGTTTTGAAAGGCTGAATGGGGATGTATATTAATAGTTCCCACATGGCTACAATAGTGCAAAGTACAATAGGATAAGAGGTAATTTTTTACCCTAAGATTTTTTGTCGTGTGGAGATTTCGCGAATTCAAATGCGTATTCAGTGAATACTATTCATCTTAAAGGTTAGAGAAGTAGGGAACACGACTATCGTCAGTATTACTGTTATTATTGTTCAGTCCCTTACAAGAAATTGGAGGTAAGTTAAGGGTAATAAATTATCCCTTTATATCTGTACGTACACATTTTTGTTTTATATATCATAACATGGGAACGTAGTTCACAAATAAAATGAATAGATTGGAGTGGAAATAACCGACGTCATATTGAAGAAAATACCAAAGTGTTAAACATTGTTCCATGGATGGCACTACCAAGTTTTAAAGAAGTTCATAATTAAGTGTATGCACTGTGCACAATGTCATGGGATAAAAATTTCATGCTTCAATTGCAATAAACTTGTCTCCAATGAACTCAGATTAGACATGTGTTTTATACAATATCGGTACATTGTGAGTCAAGCCAAATAGCTGTGTTATAGGTAAATATTAAATAAAGTTGTTATTTGTCTTTATAGCTATTTATTCAACAAGTTGTGAAGCGTTTATGTATTCCTTCTACGGTTTAATAAAAACTTGCAAGTGTAGAAATATGAAAATATCTGGGAATGATTTGTCTTAGAAAATTTTTGAATAACAAAATTAATAAACAATAATAAACAAAATTTCTATGTTTTACCCAAATATGCAGTAATTTTAACAAAATAGCTTTTAATTTATTTTTCAGTCAAATCTTATTCATTTTCTGTGTTCTGATTAATATAAGTAATCCAACAATCAAAACATTGTGTTTTAGAAATAGTCTTCCAGTCTGCTGCTGATACCCTAACAATTTGATTGATGTTTCAGTTCTTGAATACCTCTCAACATGAGTGACAAAGATTCTCTTGCGTTGCCTGAAATGCAGTTGCCCGATTCAGTGCTTATTCAAAATGGGCAAGAAGAGAATGTTCCTAACTCCTTTAATTTAGAAATAGTTGTTAATTCTTCTAACTCATCTCAGGAGCCAGAAAACAACCAATGTGATAGGACTGATGACATTGCTTCACATCAAGTTTCAGAGCCTGGTGAGAAACTTATTTTTTTTTGTGTAAGTTGTAAAACTGCTTACAAAACAGCTGTTAGTTTTGAGGTCCATCAGCAGTGGCACAAAGTCTCACGTCCGTATAAATGTGTAAAGTGTGAAGCAATGTTTCAACATGCTGAAGCTCTCCAAGCACATTTGCGATGGCATGGCCGCCCCTTTGTGTGTGGAATTTGCAAGATGACATTCAAGAGTGCTGGAAGTCGCAAACTGCACAGAAAGAAACATATGAAACGTCTATATAAATGTTCTACATGTGGTGATAGATTCGTTAACGAAATTGAACTGCAGAACCATGAACGCAAACATACTGATTATCCATATGAATGTGATGTGTGTGATGCATTGTACATGGTAAGATACTACCTCAAAATTCATATGCGAAAGCATACTTCTCGGAGACCGTGGAAGTGCTGGGAATGTAAGGCTCTCTTTGTTGAAAGAACAAGCTTAGATGTTCATAAAGAGGATGTACATCCCGAATCACTCTCTCTTATCTGATTGACCTGAAACTCAAAAGAATAAAAGTTATGACTCTTATGTTAAACCACTAGCAGTAATATGATATGTAATATAAAAAAATTATGACAAATGTCGTATTTCTTTTTAAGTTAACTTAGCAAGATGATCTGGATTAAGGTTGGGTATACCTTTCGTATATATTTAGAGTATTGAGTTTCATTCACTGATTTTTTTTTCCCCTTCTTTTGTTTGATCCTGATTATTAATTATATATTTAAACTTGGTGCTAGAAGAGTATTTTTACTCATTTATTGGGTAAAGTTATAATATTAACTTTAGATTCTGATAAAATTAATTGTAAAATCACAGAGTAGTTTGTTGAATGAAATGTGAATGATTAGATTGTATTAGAATTGTAGTGAATTGTTTTAGTTCTTTAATATGAAGATCCTTTGTTTGATAGTTGCTAAGGTAGTAAGTTCATAAGTTCAATTGCTAAGTTATCTGTTTTTCTCTCAGCTCTTTGCTTATCTAATTTGCATCCATGTATTGTCACTACAATTATTTCCTATAGTAGTTTTAGTTACATACTACCCTAAGAACTTAAAGGTATTACAAGTTTTGTTATGGAACATTTGTCATTAAGTATGTTCTTGTCATCATTGTGATTTGTTTGCCTTTCTACTCCTGACAACTACTATTGATAATGTGATTTTATATTGTATTTTATTTTGTCAACATTAAACTTGTTTCATGAGATATTTCGTTATTTTTCTCCTAATTGAAAATTTTATTCTCTGCAAAAAATTTTCCAACCATAATCTACTTCAATTCACAGTCATTAATTATAAACATAATACCTGTCACAAATAATATCATTTCTCTTCAACGTGTACATCTCTAAGTTCTTAGGAAAGAAAATTCAGCATTCATTGGAATGTGTCTTTCTATGTCGTCTTTGCAAACTTTGGAAACATTATAACCAAAATAGTTCAAATGGTTCACCTGCTTCAAAGCATATTTTGTTACTTTTGGAAAGGTTTCCAATAAAAGACATAATTCTTTTGGTGAAGATCTTAGATGTATTGTTCTGAAATTCCAAGTAGTTTAGGAACTTTTTATAGTACTTCTTCAGAGCTTGCAAGTATTACCTGGATGTCGGTAAAAAAACCTATTGTCCTATTGTAAATGAGTTCTATGTTCTACTTGCCATCTTTTGATAACATCATTACATTAATGAAGATGTATATAAGGTAGGAGAAATAAGTCCACTTTTGTACAATTTTTCAGGAGAGCAATTTAAAGTATATGAAGCCCAGCAACTTTCGTATGAATATTGTAAATTAAAGTTGTTTCAGTTGGAATTATTGGAAAATGCTTGTGTAAAATAAATTAACACAAGTTTTAATGATTTCAGTAAAAAGTTTTAATGCAAATACAACTTGAATGCAAACTTTTTTTTGTAATTAAGGGGATCAGCCCTGTTGACTTGCTTCCTTCATGAATCATACTGTAAAATCAAAAATAGTCTTGTGAAGAAGAATCCCACTGTAACATTTTTTTAAATTTAGTGCAAAATTACGAAAACACAGAAATACTCTTATGTGAAGATCCCACTGTAACATTTTTTTTCTAGCAAAATGATGAGAATTACTTTATTGTCCTTTCAAAATATGTTGCTAGCTGTATAGTTATTAATATACTTCACTTTAATACATCAAGACAAAATTAATAATAATAATTATTTCTGTCAGTCTGTTTTTCCATTGTGTTTTTCATTTATCTTTGGTATTTTGAATGTAGCCTGTGCTGACACACAAAATTTTATCAACACTTTTAAGTCACCATACTTTACTGCACGGATTGGTAGCTGTACTAAAACATTAAAATCAAGAAATACTTAGAAGCGGACAAATAATTACAATATGTCATCTTTCCAAGTCTATAAATAATAAAATTGGTTCAGGGGGATTGGTCAGTATGGGTAAAGAAAGTTATGCCCATGACTTGACCATGAAGCCCTATGCTCATGAGGATTGACCTTAATGAGTATTAGTAAGGTGTGTACCTTCTATATTTTGTTGTTTTATTTGTCTTCATTTATAAATGTTTTTTGTTGTTTGTGAAGGGTTAATTAATTAATTAATCAATTTACTTAAAATTGTATGTTGTCCTCATGCATCGTTTATTTGTCCTTATACTCTAGACCTGATGAAGAAATTAAATATTTTTAAATGTTGGCGTAACTAATTGTTTCTTTACCCACACTGACCAATCCCATGAACCAATTATATTATTCATTAATGGTCATATCTATAAAAACAATAGTAATCATACCTAGGTAAATTCTCCAATAGGCACGAGTTGGCACCACTGCTGTGTGGTCCTCACTGTTTACCATTCATCTTCATAGTTGTGTCGAAAGTAGTCAGTAAAATCTTTGTGAGGCATGGTCTCTCAGGGAAATTTCTTTGGCGGTGGGGTGTCAGGTGTTTGGTTCATTACTAGAGATTGTAGATTTTAGCAATTGCTAAAATTGCGAAATGTTACCAAGAGCAGAAAAAAATAGCAAGTTAATTGTATGTTTGGCAGTCGGTGCAGTATATTTATGAAGGTTTTTGCTCTGCGATAAAATGCAAAATTGATCGCCAAACGAGAAATCACGGACGAAGCTCAAAATAATCGTGAATCTGTGATATACTAATTACGAAATTAGTATAATGGTTTCTTTCATATTCGCTCTCAAGTTGGATCACCATCGCTAGGGATGCGACATCGGCAACAACACAACGATGTTTGAAAACATTTAATTTTTAATGCAAACAAATGCTACAAAATGTTAAATCTTAATTTTTGTAATGCTATAAAATGATATAGCTTTGTTTTGAAAATGCGATTTAAAAAAAATTAAAGTGCTAAATTCTACCATCATCACTTTCCATTAAAGAAAATATGCTGCCGTGTGGTTTCTTCAGTAGTTGTACTCATGTTGCGTCTATCACATACAACTCTTTCACATCCTTTGACGGATGATTATAGAAAAAATCATGAATGAGCGAACGCATGCCATCACTTTCTTGCCAGTTGTTTTTCTGTACGAGTAAAATACACTTTCAGAGGAAGAGATATATTCAAATTACAATGTCATCTGTATCATATAATGGATGTCTTCCTTGCAAACTTGAAACTCACTAATAACTTCTTTATCATCACCAATTCCTCGTGGTCTGCAATTGTTCTAAATAGCCTAAATGTTTCTAATTGCTTCTCCTGGTTTTCTTCTGCGACATCGGGCTATTTTAAGGTGTATTAAGCCACCCAAATATGAGTCCAGTTTGCTCTTGTCAAGCACAGGTTTAAAATTATCAACTTTTTCTACAGTTCGGTGCACCTTTAAAACACTTAATTTGGCATTTACAGTCTTCTCCTTGACACGCGTCATTAAGTTAATCTTACTTTATCGCTGCTGCCTACGCAATATAGAGGAAGTATTGTAATGCTACGGGGAGATGGCGAATTTTCGACAAAAACTTTCGGCGGTGCCCTGGTAACGAATAAGCGGATATATCTTGTCCCTATATATTTAGTAAATTACTTCCTCTACCATGTTTACTCAGAATCCATGTTTTGTGGGTCCTTGATTTCGCAAAATCGATTGACGGCAAAATGTATCTTGGTCCGACTGGGAGAGGTGGCTGAGGGCTTCAATTGATGTCTCTGCAGTGCTACTGGCCAGGGGGTCTTAGGTTCTTGATAGCGAATTCTTCTTTGTGGGTTCTTGATACTGAAAAATCGATGGCCGTCAAAATGTCTATTCGTCCGTCTGTCTGTGAACAATGCTAGCGTCTAAACCGTTCTGGCGATTTTCTTCAAAATTGGTATTCCGTAATCAATGTGGCTGATGTTGCGGCTCCTTGAATTTGAAACCAATATTTTAATTTTATGAGCTACTTTACACGAAGCTCCCAACAGTACATTTTCAAAACTTCCAAAGAAATTGCTCCAACTTTTTTGATTAAATTTAGATGGATAGTGTGAAGGACGTTTCAAAGAATGATGCAAGTATCATGTTCGTTAAAAACCCTGATTTTTCGGAAATTTGCAAAAGCTCAACATTTTTCGGAGTCTTCCTGTAACTAAAATATTAGAGATAGAGATGAAATTTGTTTCTTAAAAACAGATTTTGAAAGAGGTCGGGTGCAATTTTTCGGAAATTTGAAAACCTGTCGAGTAATTTCGTATAATATTACATACCCATTAACAATATTGAGGGAAAATACATGTTGTTGCAGCACCATTAGTTACATTTGTGACAAAATGTTCCAGTAACATTTTCAAAATCTTAGAATTATTCTGTGAAAATCAACGTTGTCCATTGAAATGAATCAATAATTTCTTCTTCTCTTTTAATAATGTTTGGAAAATCAGCCAAAGAACTGGTAGAAACAAAGACTCTATTATGGCGTGGGTAGTTAAGGTTGGACAGTGAGCGGCTGCCAAAGATGTGGGAATATCATCCTGAAGAAAGAAGGAGGAAGACCAAGAAGAAAGTGGGAGGAAGACGTAAGATCGAATGTAAGATCAATGACAGCAGCGCGAGATTTAGAAGGTGATGCCTGGGGAGATCGAAAGAAATGGAGATTAGGCAACGAGAAACGGCGACAGCTGTAGAATACTCGCTTTGCTACTATTACTACTGCTACTTTAAACTATTTACTTTATTTTACTGCCTCTTATGGGGCCTGCCATTGACATAAATCTTAATTCCTTTGTAAATATTAGAATTTTAAAATATAATTAATTTAATGGGCTAGGTCGGGTTTTAATTTAATTCCTGGGCGTCAGCATACTTACGCTTCTCAGGGTACTACACTTGTCTTGTTGGGCCTCAAAATAAAGCTCGGACGAGTGTTCGGGTGGTAAACAATTTAATTATTGTTAGGAAATGGTGTCACTTCTGTTGCTGAAAAATCAAACAATTTAAAAATTTTGTTTATGAATTGCCAGCG